TGCTAGATGTGTCTGTTGACGATTTGTTTCGGACCAAAACGACTTTAGAGTCTCATGAAAATTCAAATCGATGTTAGCGCGCGCTAAAAGGCTAAGAAGTGGGCCCGCTATCTCCGTCCGTCTGTTTACGCTTCATTTCATACCAAAACAGCTTTCGAGTCTCAGGGAAAACCGAATCCACGTCATGAGCGCGTCTGCTCACTCTGTCTGATCTCCCAAATTTCGCGTCTCACCTCGACTCAACTCAAGCGTATTTCTCGAGCACTTTCAAACAGCCATCGCTGCATACAAAGCGCTGCGCATGGAGCGACGTGTCAAACGTATGACCTAAAGTCAGGGAATTCTTTTTCCCAACTTTGCAGGGAGCATGTCGCCGGGCAAAAGGGCAGCGTCAAAATGGCCGATTTCTTCTTCAATTCCATGCATGGCTCCTTCAGACGTTTTGGTGTGTCCTGTCATGACGAGCCGGCATGACAAATTTTGTGTCTATCGGTGAACAAATGTGCGCATGTGTGCGCGTGCACGCACATGCGCACACACAAAATGACTCCACAGGGAGCCATGTGCAACAGTGGCATTAACTTACGGCACAATATTTGCCTGAGCCAATTAACTCACTCGTGTGAGTGTGTGTGTGTGTGTGTGTGTGTGTGTGTTGAGCAAAGGTTAATAGGACCTCAAGAGGGTGAGACAATAAGACAAGGGCCTTGTTACCTTTCCACTCGTGTTTCCACACACACACACCCACACACACACACACACACACACACACACACACACACACACACACACACACACACACACACACACACACACACACACACACACTGGAGCATGCGACGGGCGGCGCAGCAGGCCACTTCATTAGCATCCAAGGCTAACGCCGGCGCAAAGGCTGCAGAACACAGTCACCATTGTGGTCAGCCGTTCTCCCTTCTTTTCTTTCTTGCAGCCATCCTTGTTTCCTTTCTCTCTTTCTAAATCAGTTCAGCTCCAACGACCACAACGCACTTTGCGCAGGTCCGTGCGCACAACAGCCGTTATTCGCACGATTTTTGCTTTGACACGCGAGCTCAAACTTGAGATGGGAGCGTTTTACGCTGCTAGCGAACCGATTGTTTTGTTTCGGTTCAATTTTACAGCGAAAGCTACGTGCACGTCAAGATCTACGCTATTGCTCATGACATGCATTGTAAAACATTTTCGTTTAAAAAAAAAAAAAAGTACATGCAGCGGCTCCCCGTTTTGTCATCGGTGTTTTGAACGTCCCCATCCAAGGCGCCCACTCGACGCCGTTCCCTCAATAATCGGGACTTGACTTCGCCGCTTCGCGCAGTCGTCGCCGCTGCCAAATGGGTCGCGCACTCAGGGTTCGCGCGCGACGCTTGCGAGTGTTTTATGTCTCCATTATCTCCGCCGACGCCACGGCGCAGAGAGCGCTAAGTGCGCCCCGCAATTTGCCGCCGTTCCGCGGCTTTAATGCGGATGAACGTACGTACTTCAGCGCTCGCTCGCGGCGAATTGGCAACGATGGCCTAAAAATGGTTCGCCTTCGGTGGAGGAGCGGGGCGAAAGCCCCGCAGATGTCAAAATGAGGCAATGTTGAAAAACATTTGAAAAAGAGGCTTTAATTGCATTCATTTCATGGAATTAATTACGGGAAAAGGTTAGTGCAAGAATGTAAAAACTGTCAAAGAGTTGAGGGGGACCTGGTTGCATAACACCGAGTCAGTCATTGCATCAAAAAATATCTGCAGAAATAGAAACATGCGGTCATTGTTTGTTTCTGTCACGACTTCATCGAAATGAACGCATTCAAGTTCTTTTTTGTCTGGAATTACTATCAACGTGTAGTTTAGATCAACTTGATTTTTGATTCATTAATTGCAGGAAAAAGTGCAGAAAGAGATTCTTTGCAGGCAACGTGGAAAAAAAGGGTGACGACATTCTCATTTGATTTGTCATGATTTTAGTTCGGTCAATCATCAGTCAATCGAAATAAACCCACGAAAGTTGTTCAGGGCGCTCATGCCGTCACAAGACGGCGGCAAAGCACTGCTTTCATCTATATGATGCTCCTAAACTCACGACAACATAGTTCTTTGGTACCGTGGTGCCACAGGATGGTGGCAAAGCACTATTTTTGCCCAACGCGAAAGGCCTCAACTCGCTTCAACTGAGTTCCTTGGCACCAAAGCATTACTTATGTGTAAATGAAGTTCCCAAACGACATGTGGCATCAAGACGGTGCCAAAGTCCTACTTTTATCGCTCTGTCTTTTATTGCTGAGAAACGGCGCACATTTCTCAGCGAACAAACAGATTTGGTGAATGCCTCCCAATATGCGAGGCTTCCTTTTGGTTTGCCCGTCCTTCTCTCTCTCTTCGTCCTCCTCTTTCCTTCCCTCCTCCCTCCTTTGCTGGCCGTCAAGGAGACGACACGAACACGCGGTGGCAAACAAATTTCCTTAAGTGCAATTTCGACTCCAAAGACGCGACTTCCTCCAAGGTCAACGCCGAGTGCTTCTCCGAGATCAACTTTGACCGGACGCATCGTCGCGGGGTCATTCAAAATGCCACGATATGCTCTTCTACCGAGACTCCTGGCACCACGCACAAAATAATACGAATGAAAGGCAGATTAATATACTTTCGAATTGGGTCTCCTGACAGCGCGCGCGCACACACACACACACACACACACGTATGACAAAGATATTTAATGTTCAAACTGATGACGTTGATTGTTTTTTAGCAAATAATCATTTCCTTTGAGTTTTGTGTCTGCAACACGTGCATGTTTCCACTTCCTTTCAACATCACTCAATCAGCTTTTCGAGAACACTAATTGTTGAGACTTTGCAGGTGGAATTCTTTCCCATTCATGCTCGATGTACAGTTTGAGTTGCTCACAAGTCAGGGGCGTCCTGTTGTTTTTTTGGGCTTCATAATGTATCGCGCGTGTTGAATGGGAGACGGGTCTGGACGGCTGGCATGCCGGTCGAGCGCTCACACTCTTTTACGGCGAAGCCATGATGTTGGAACACATGCAGAATGAGGCTTGGCGTTGTCCTTCTGAAATAAGCAAAGACATCCCCGAAAAAGAAGCTGCTCGGTCGGCAGCAGAATTTGTTCCAAAACCTCGTTTTGTCCTTGCCACGGGAACTAACAAAACTTCATGCTGTCCCAGATAGCGGCTTTTGAACTGCGTGCTGATAACAATCCAAATGGGACTTTTCCGCTTTGACCAGGAGGTCCCCGAACAATTCGAAATCTGGGCTCGTCAGACCACAGCTCTCTTTTCTACTTTGCGTCGGTCCATCCCAGATGAGCTCAGGCCCAGGGAAGCCAGGATGTTGTTGATATCGAGCTATGGCTATGCAGGGCAGCATCTGAACTCACAGCTGTCCATGTAGCGACAAACTGTTTTCATTCGACAATTATGCCAAAAAGTGGCCTTTTTGGCATAATTGGTCTTGCCGCTTATGTTTCGAGATTTCTCCAGATTTTCTGAATTTTTGACGATTCGTAGAAAATGATTTTGTTGCCCTGTCCCAGCTATTTGGAATGTGTTGCAGGTATCAATTTCAAAAGAAGAATATTTGCATTGTTTTTGTCATGTATTTGATTGAATATAGCTTGAAAAGGATTTGCAAAACATTAGATGTGGATTTGTACCATATATATCTATATATCTATATAGATATCTATATATCTATATAGATATCTATATATCTATATAGATATCTATATATCTATATAGATATCTATATATCTATATATATCTATATATAGATATATATAGATATATAGATATATATCTAAAAACACGCACACACACATATCAAAACTGATAACTGACAACACGAGACAATCAGTGAGACCCCATTTTGCTTTCAAGCCTTCATTTCAAATCCGAATTTGAAGATGCACACGAAAATATCACAAAGTGTTCTCTTCTGCAGAGCTAATCCTCTCCTATGTGCAAGAAACTATGATTAAAATACATGCAAACATTTTCAGCCCCCGTATTGATATATCCTGATTTTTTGGGCTTGTTGTCCGTCCTATTATAGCATCTCTGCATATTATTATTCTCATTGTTATCTTTTATGATTTACCACTGGAAGTCATTTACATGAAAAACGCGAGCAGTCACCTTTGTCTCGGAAAGACGGCGATACATTTTGTTTCGAAAAAATAAAAGTTCAAATTCAGTCAATTCATAAATGTTCGAACGTTAAAAATGATTACGGCAACAACAACAAAACCGCCTCGAATTCAAATATTGTCGTAACACGCTTCGAGGCCATTGATGTCATTATACAGAAAAAAAACATCAAGTAAAGTGGCTCCAACTTTACTAAAATGACAGCATCTGAAATCAAACTAAAACGATTCTTTTCTCATGCAACAATCACTTTTTATGATTTCCAAGCCAAGAAACATCTCGCAAAACAGGATCTACACAAACAACCGCGCGTGTGGTCCGATGGGCCGCTACCGCCCCCCGACGACATCAAAGTGCACTGCAGGTTGCAACGACTTGTTCAAAGCTCCCAAAACGCGCAGCCAAGCGCGCACGAAGCGTTGACGACAGTCAGCGGCAATTCAAGTCTCGTCACATTGCTCTCGGTTCACACCGACAGAAGTGAAAGGCGAATTAAATGTATAAAATGGAAACAAGTGTCCCATCATATTCACTGAAGGAAACCAAAGGGGATGTGGGGGAGGTGGGGGGCGGCTGCCTGTGCCGAGCGCAATCGTGGGCTGAATACCAAGCGGAAAGGGCGAGAAAAAGAAACACTTAAAGTTTGCACAGACAGGAGGTGCTCCCGACCCGCGCACTCAACAACCAAAACGTGGCGACTCGAAGACAATCGAACGATGGAGAATCAATGACAGAAATTTGAAGCATGAACGACGCGTACCAAGCGGCAAATCTCATCCTCGTCATACGCGCCAATCATCAAAATGATGGGGATGGTGTCACTACTTCACCTGGGAAAAACTGCGCGCCGGCAAGTCCCGCGGGCGCCAAGTAGAAGAAAAGTACGCGCCAAATCAGCACGCGATTCCCCGCGTCCATCTCTTCCTCTTCTTCTTCTTCTTCAATTTTTTTTGGTGTGTTATCCTTTCGTTCGAAGAACTTGTTTCACGTGCTCGCGCCTCCTCGCTATTGCACTCCCCACACACCCCCCCCCCCCC